CTATTCAACCAAGATCTTTCTACAGGAACGGAAACCATGCACAGGGTGACAGCTAGCATGCCACACGTAAAAGAGCAATATGTTTTTCAATTTCAATAGTTGCTCTTTTACAATTAATTAAAACAGGATAAATGAGCTAACAAAATGTGCTTAAGTCATGTGGCTGTACAGATATCATACGTTATGGAACAAAACACTGCACATGATGGGGAAGTTGGTCCTGTTGTTTGACACCTCCCTCCCCGTCCAATACCAGATCATGTCCTGGGGAAGAATAATGTCTTCTGCTACATTTGAGTTGCTGAATCTACAAAATGCTTTCTGTGGATTATATTCTGTAGTTTATTTTATTTATTTATTTAATTTGATTTGTATGCCACCCTATCTCCATAGGACTCAGGGCGGCTCACAACAATTAAAATCAACCAGATAAAAACATATTAAAATACAAATTAAACATATGTTGAAACTCATTAAAATGATCAAACCCCATCAGTCCAGGCTGGGCGATTTAAACAGCCATGTCTTTAATTCATGGCAGAAAGTGCGAAGGTCAGGGGCCAACCGGAGCCCCAGGGGGAGTTGATTCCAAAGAGTGGGCGCGCCCACAGAGAAAGCTCTACCTCTGGGGGCCACCAGCTGACATTGTCTAGCCAACGGCACCCTGAGTAGGCCCTCCCTGTGAGAATGCACCGGGCAATGGGAAGTTGCTGCTGGTTGCAGATGGTCCGACAAATATCCTGTGCTAAGCCATGTAGGGCTTTATACGTCATCACCAGCACCTTGAATCTCAGCCAGAAGGCAACCAGCAACCAATGCAAGTCGCGCAGGAGAGGTGTAACATGGGAGTATCGGGACCCTCCCATCACAACCCGCGCGGATGCATTCTGTACCAGCTGAAGCCTCCGAGTGGTCTTCAAGGGCAGCCCCAAGTAGAGAGCATTGCAGTAGTCAATATGGGAGGTGACTAGCGCATGAGTAACTGTGCGTAGGGCATCTCGGTCCAAATAGGGGCGCAACTGGTGCACCAGGCGAACTGAGAAAACGCCCCCCTGGTCATGACTGTTATATGATCTTCTGGTCACGGCTGTTATATGATAGTTGGATTTGTTAGAATGGAGAACATAATATGTACTATAGATGCCAAGAAATTGGATAAAGACTGTCATGTCATCATGATACAATAATGTCTGGGTACATTTGAATCAATGGGACACGCCATAGAACATATCACATAGGACGAAAGCAATTAAAATAGATGTACACTCTACACTAGAGCAAGATTCGAAGTTGCTGGATATCCAGCTGCATAGTGAGTTGAAACATGTCTGTGGCCATTTTGAGGGCCTTGAGTCAGTTCCATTGAGGTAGTATACAGATTTAATAACCCATGACATTTTATCTGGTATCCATCAAGAGATTAAGGAAGTGGAAGTTTCACATCCCATTTGATGCTCGGAGCTGCTAACTTTCCATTTACTAATGCTTATGTTGATGTGTCCTTACAAACTTGCCACTTTTGGCAGCTACTAGCCAATAGTTGTGAAGGCAGTATAGGCAGTACAGTGCACTGTTTGGATCCAGACTATATGCTGGGGAAAAATACAATGCTAGCTGTATGTTATGGCTAATATATTTCCCCTGTGCTGAAACAAATTGTCCAGTATTATATCTGTAAATGTTTCACAGCTCTTCATGCTAGGCAATGGGATCCTGATATTTTTCAGTATTTTTAGCAGGGAAAAAAACCCTTTATCATTACATCTGAATTAGTACTCTTGCTCTGTTACTCTCCTAATTTATGAGATGATTACTGCAGGATTTGATATTGGGAGTCAGCTTCAAATTCTTGGGTTTAAATGAATGAGCTGTGCCACATACATTTTGGTATTTCTGCCAGGTTACTGGAAAGTTACCACACGCTTTAATGTAAAATTAAAAGATTATTTTAAAAATTAAGGCATCAGACAGGCTTTGTAAAAGCTTTGTTTCCTAAGAAGAAACAATCTTAAAAGCAGGATAAATAAGTAAATCTGAGATTAATCTAATTAATCTTAGGAAGTATGATCTAGTGGCTATATGTGGCCCACCAATACTCCTTGGTTAGCCTCTACAGCAGGGGTCCTCAAACTTTTTAAGTAGGGGGCAAATTCATGGTCCCTCAGACTGTTGGGGGCCTGGATCGGCTGGGTGGGCATGTGACTAGGTGGGCGTAGTTAGGTCATGTGACTAGGTGGGTGTGGCCAATTTAACGGTCCATTGAACAATGCACACAAATTAAACTTTAATTTGTTTTGCTCCTGGGGGTGTTTTATTTGCATGTTGCTCTTTTGGTTGCCTTTTCTTTTTACTAGATTGTTTTTTCAGTTGTTTAGGAGTCTAGTGATCCACTACAGGAAACTTAGTTTTGCAGCAATTCTTCTCAGCCCCAAGGAGCTTGAGAAATCTCTCTCTGTCTCTCTGTCTCTCTCTTTCTTTGTCTCTCTCCCTCTTTCTCCCTCTCTCTCCCTCTCTCTCTCTTTCTCTCTCTCTCTTTCCTTCTCTCTCTCTCTCTCTCTTTCCTTCTATTTTTGTCTCTCTCTCCCCCCTTTCTTTCTCTTTCCGTCTCTTTCTTTCTCTCCCTCCCTCCCTCTCTTTTTCTGTCTCTCTCCCCTTTCTCTCTTTCTCTCTCCATCTCTCTTTCTCTTTCTTTTTTCTCTCCTCTCTTTCTCTTTCTCTTTCTTTCTCTCTCTTTCTCTCTCTCTCTGCCTCTCTCTTTGTCTCTCTGTCTCTGTCCCTCTGTCTTTCTCTCTCTCTCTCTTCTTTCTCTCTCTCCCTCCCTCCCTTTCTTTCTATCTCTCCCTGTCTTTTCTTCTCTCCCTCCCTCTCTCTCTGTCACTCTCCCCCTCTCTCTTTCTGTCTCTCTCCCTTTGTCTCTCTCTCTCTCTGTGTGTGTGTCTATCTCTCTCTCTCTATCTTCTGGAAGTGGGGGAGGTGAAAAACAGGCCATTTTTGCCTTTTTGGGGGAGCCTCCTTTCACGCCTCCCCCCCACCTTCAGCAGCATTCTGCAGGCCAAAACCAGGCAAAAATGGCTCCTTTTTTTGCCAAAAATGGGCCATTTTCACCCATTTTTGGCCTCCTTTCCACCCTCTCCATCTCCAGCAGCATTCTGCAGGCCAAAACCAGCCAAAAACGGCTTGTTTTTTGGCCTCCTTTCCCCCGCCCGCCCCTAGGCCCTGCCCTCCCCACCTGCACCCTTTAGCCTTACCTATGCAACAGCAATGTGTGGTGAGTGTTGAACCATTGAAATGAGCAGAAGTGGGAAGTGTGGCTGGACAATGGAAGATAAGGGTGACGGCTGGAGGAGGCCACTCCAGGGCCCCCAATAGCCAGGAAAAGCCAGCTATGGAGGAAGTGGCTGGGACGGGAGGGGCAAGAGGCGGGATGAGGGGCAGGACTTAACCCCAGCACTCCGCAGGTCAGATAAATTGGGCCATCAGGCCACATCCGGCCCGTGGACCGTAGTTTGAGGATGCCTGCTCTAGAGCCTCTCCCAGAGCAAGTGGAACAAAACCTTTTGGACCTTTCAGCATGGAGAAGTTAAAGGACAAAATAGGTGTTTTAAGCTTTATAGCTGATTTAAAAATTCATTTCAATCCTTCAAATTCTTGAATTCTCCCCCTTTGATGCTGGGCCCACCCAGTTTTAGTGATTCACCATCAATATGCCCTAAGCCCAAATTTGGCATAAGTTGCTATGTCTTGGGAGATTCATACTGAATTAAATGAACTATTCATACAAATAGCTTTGTAAGAAAAGGTATCATTTTAGACTGCAAAAACCCACATAATCACTAGTTTAAAAAATTATAGAAAACTCTATATTCTTGTTACTAACTCATTCAGATATCTGGATCTCAAATATGGTAGCCCTAGGAAAACAGCTTCCCATAACAAAAATAACAGTTAATCAGTTACAATTATCCTATATTATGCCATTTTATGATTTCAGTCTTATAACTGCATATATGACATCATGAAAAATGTATACTGTGTAAATTGTGTGCAAATGATCAGCAAACAAAATATGATAATTAGTTCCAACTTCCATATTTTCCAGTAAAGGCTTCATCATGTTCGATGTATCCACCTCTCTATTGCAGGTGGACTATACACGTGAAATTGTCAAAGATGCAGGTTTTGATTATCCCACTGAATGATGTTTTTAAGCAGAACAAATCAATAATCTGAGTAAATATTACACACTATTATTAAAAATTAGGGAAAAACAGAAGGAGAGAGAAAAAGAGAGAGAGAGAAGAGAGAATTGTGCTGAGTTAATTAAGGCTTCAAGAAATGCTTGCTTTTATTGGCAATTTTTTTGTTGCAGGAAGAAAACTAAAAATTAAGAGGATAGTTGGCAGCAATATTGATATGCTAATGGATAAACATGCTAATTTAGAAAAAAACTAATCAGCAAAGACATTACTAATGGAAATGTACTGGAAAATGGCTAATGCTGTATGCAAACCTGGCATGTACAAAATTAAGAAGAACACAATTTGTATTTATAATTGTGACTCAGGCGCAAAGCCTCTCTTCTAGGCTACAATTGAGATTAAAGGACATCTCAACTGACCTGTCCCAATCCCACCAAATCAATTCAATCACTGTAGAATGTACAATTAAACAAACAAATAAATTTACTGCATTGCACATTCTCCTTGGTATAGAGGAGATGTAGAAGCTGGAATCCTTATCTTGTTTCATTCTAGTATCTGTAGCAGGAAAATTTCATAATGCATGTTATTACAAAGCAATATAATCACAAGGATACTGATCAAGCAACTTGGTCAGCAATGAAGTTTGAATAACTGCTGAATGGAAACTCTCTTTCTTAGATTGGTTTATTTATTTGTTTATCACATTTAAAAACAATTATGAAGTATAAGTGGTTATTTTCTTGTATGGCAAAGAATCTGAATCTGAAATTTCTTTTATTCTCCCCAGGATAATATATTTCCAGCAACTTCATTTTTTAAAAAAAATCTAACAACCAGAATTCTAAAATCAGCAGTTAATTCACACAACCAGTGCAACTCCAAACATTGGTGTATTTTGTGATTCTTAAACAAAAGAGAACATGTTCATGTTGGAAGAAAAAACCCTGGGTTTTTCTACAAGGAGGAAGCAGAAAGAAGAAAACAGACTAGCATTTCAAAGCAGGGGCCCAGAATGTTAAATCTGAAGAAAGCACACAGCAATTCTCAGGTAACAATGGAACAATGGAAATTATCAAGACCCTAAAGCAGTTATTAACAAAAGAAGAAAATGATTAAATGCATATTAGACAAGTAGTCATATTAGTTACAGTTAAATGTTAGTATATTAAATGATTAATTATTTTTGTTCTTGCCCCACCCATTATGTTTTCACATGAACCCCTAGCATCCTTCTCAAGTGTCCAGTGTGACAGGATCAGAGGCAAAGGTCAAAATTTTCCCCAGCAAATATTTACTGTAAATCTGATTTACAGTAAATATAACTAAACAGTTGATTAAAAAAACATGTACATACAGAATGCTAATGAAACTAGCAGTGGTAATGGGTTGGGAAAGAATTAGGTGAATCAGGAAAATAAGAAAAGGAGTAAGTAATATTAAATACAGAGTCAGGAAGGCAATAAAGACTATATAATCTATAAAAGGACCTTAAATTCAGATATATGGGCTGCAATGTGTAACATCAAAGAAGAAATGCAATACAACACTAATTGATTTTGAACATAGCTCTGCATAATTGTAAGAATTATCAGTCATCTGACAAATTTAAGTGATTTGCCTTTCATAGAATAGGCGGAAATAATTTAAAAACTTTTAGTACAGACGAATATCTGTGGGTCTTCTTTTCTCTAGGGTCTTATATTGTATAATTTACTTATCCTCTTCTTATATAGTTTCTTTAATTAGCTAGTTGTATTTTATGCAACATAGTTGCTAATTTTTAAAGGCAAAATTTGAAGTGAAGCATTGCATTTGTTTTGTTAAGCTGCTAGCACTCAATCTGCCACTCGGAAGGGCTGTTCAATTGCAAAATCTACCAGATCCAAGTAGTGGTATTAAGTTACAGTATATCTTTTTTTAATTTTAAAAAGTTGTTTATTAAATGTACAGTTAAAAACATTGGACATAGTGTAACTTTTCTGGTTCAAACATTTCCATCAAGTTTTACCTTACAACAAATACAATTCATATTCGATATATAACTATGTACAGTCTATCAAAATTCAGACATATAAATCTCTTTGTCTGTGAAAATTACTTTCAATACCAATACAATTCCTACCTATCACATAATACTAATATAATAAATGAATAAATAAATAGTTTTATTTCTATATCGCCCTTCTCCCAAAAGACTCAGGGCGGTGTACAGCCTATTAAAAAAACACAAAGACAAACATCAGTTAAAAATAATTAAAATTATTACATAATTCGGCTGAAATTTAAAACCCCAAAAATTTAAAACCCAATTTAAAAATCATTAAATTGATAGCCCGGCTTGGCGGAACAGCAGGGTCTTGAGGGCACAGCGAAATACACGGAGGTTGGAGATCTTGCGCATTTCCGGGGGCAGTTCATTCCATAGGGCAGGGGCTCCCACAGAGAAGGCCCTCCCCTGGGTGTCACCAGCCAACATAACTTGGCAGATGGCACCCTGAGGAGACCCTCTCTGTGGGAGTGAACTGGCCGGTGGGAGGCTGTTTGTGGCAGAAGTCGGTCTCAAAGGTACCCAGGTCCTATGCCATGGAGCGCTTTAAAGATGGTAACCAACACCTTGAATCGCACCTGGAAGACCACTGGGAGCCAGTGCAGCTCGCGCAGGAGGGGTGTCACGTGGGCACAACGGGTTGCGCCCATAACCACCCGCGCGGCCGCATTTTGGACCACCTGGAGCCTCCAAGTGCTCTTCAAGGGGAGCCCCATGTAGAGAGCATTACAATAATCCAGCTGGGAGGTGACAAGGGCGTGAGTGACCGTGCACAAGGCATCCCCATCCAGAAAGGGCTGCAACTGGTGAATCAGGTGAACCTGATAAAAAGCCCCCCTGGCCATGGCCATCGTATGCTCTTCTAAAGACAGCTGTGCGTCCAGGAGGATGCCCAGATTGCAGCCCTCTCTGTGGGGTGCAAAGATTCACCCCCAATAGTCAGCGATGGCACCAGCTGACTATATCGGGACGCCGGCAGCCACAGCCACTCGGTCTTGGAAGAGTTGAATCTGAGCCTATTTCTCCCCATCCACTTTTATCGCCACTAGGTAGGTCTTGATATAAGACGTCACCTGTGTCCGGTCGGAATCGGATTGACTGGTCCTCCAAATGCTCTCTAGGCGTCTTTTCCAACGCTTCATCTCTCTCAGCTCCTCGGAGAACCAAGGAGCCAATTGAGATCGGCATCAGGTTAGAGGCCACAAAGGCACGACGCAGTCCAAAGCCCTGGTGGCCACATTCTCCCAGGCGGCCACCAGTTCTTCGGTCGAGTCATGTGCCAGAGTCTCAGGAAATGGCCCAAGCTCCGTCAGGAACCTTTCGGGGTCCATCAGGCACCTGGGACAGAACCATCTGGTCAGTTCCATCTCCCTGTGGTGGGGGGAAGCGGCTGGAAAGTCCAAGTGAAGGAGCGAATGATCTGTCCATGACAAGGGTTTAATGTCTAGGTCCCCTCTACCAAAATCATTTAACCACTGACCAGAAATGAAAATCAAGTCCAGAGTGTGTCCCCCTATGTGAGTGGGGCCTTGAACTAATTGGGTCAGGTCCATGGCCACCATGGAAGCCATGAACTCCCGAGCCACCTCTGACGCCTCACCTGTGGATGGTAGGTTGAAATCCCCCATGACAATAAGTCCATCGCCACCCCGACAATAATGTTGAGCAGCTCGGGCAGGGTCGCCGCCATGTGGCAGGGAGCCAGGTACCTAGTCAGCAAACCCATCTGCACCCCATGGTCCCACTTTACAAAAAGGAACTCACATCCGGCTATCTGAGGAACAGTGGTCTCCCTCGGACAAAGACTTTCCCTAATAATCACCGCCACTCCCCCACCCCTCCCCTGAGCCCTTGGCTGATGAAATGCATGGAAACCTGGTGGGCACATTTCGACGAGGGCCCCCCCCTGCTGGCCCAACCAGGTCTCCGTAATACCTGCCAGGTCAGCACCCCCCTCCAAAATGAGATCACAAATGAGAGGGGAGAGTTTTCCAACTCTCGACTTATCAATATTTCTTTATCCCAACATTCCTCCTCCTCTCCAACCATTAATACATTTTATTCCAGATTTCATTATATTCCATTTCACCCTTGTCTTTGAGTTCTAGAGTCAGCCTGTCCATTTCTGCACAAGTCAGTATCTTATTTATTATCTCTTATTCGGGGGGGGGGTGTCTCTTTACTTTTCCAATTCTGTGCGAAGACCAGTCTCACTGCTGAAGTTACAGTATATCAATGCACTTCAGTAAAGACAATTAAATTGGTCAGGCTACTCTCTCAAGGAAAACATTAAATAACATGTTTCTGAACAATAGATGGAATGATTCTATGCAAGAGAAACAAAACTAGTCTGGTGAAATGATAGAAAGCATCTTAAAGAGTTAAAGAAGATTGCTTATGCTGATAATGAGTATCTTTCCAGTGCTTCTGGGCATAGTTTTCTCAGATGTATCTGGACATATCTGAGAACTTGCATAACTAAAGCAGTATTTCGCAGGCTCAGCAAGATGTGTGGATTTCAACTCCGAGAATTCTATGGTACTTGAACAATTCTGGGAGTTGATTTTAAAGTTGTTGAGGTTGAGAAACATTGATCTAAAACATGCAATTTCTGCTGCTAAATCATGTCTTTCCCTCTCTCTTTTTTAATGCTATTATTGATAAATTTGGATTTTGAATTTCATTGTATCCAATTATCGTGTTTGTTTTATTACGTTGTACTTGTCTTTTAATTATATTTACACATTTACACAAATGAAAAGTAGGATATAAATTCAATAATAAATATGTTTATAAAAAGTGGACTGGAAAGAAGAAGCATGATTTCTTTGCAAAACAGGTCAATGGAAATTTCACAAGTGGTGGAAGAAAATTTATCTTCCTAATCTACTTGATCAATGGATCACTACTAGCAGTTCCTAGATGTGAAGGTGGTGATTTATGGATCCATTACTACATCATGACCCAAACAGTTATAAATATACAGAAAGTCATTCTTATAGCTTTAAAGTGTTCACTTCATATGACCAGACTAAGAAAAGAAAACACGAGCTTAGTATAAATCTTGTACCAAGAGAGATTTGATACTCAGTTATAATATGGCTCTTAGGTTCCTCTGCAGCATCTAATATATGATCTTCGTATTTAGCACTTTGCCAGGTAGAACAAGCAGTACTATGAATTAGAGCTGAGGTCTCTCTCTGACCTCTTATGTACTTACAATCATTGTCTGGAGATTTATGTTTGTACACCGACAATTCAGTATCAGTCGAAGATCCCACCCCCATTAAACATAAGAGATCAACTAGAATTTTAAATCAATAAGCTTCTGATTCATTGGATTATGGAATTTTATTTAAATGGTAAAACTAGAAATAGTGCATTATTTTATTTTGATTGACTTGGTCACTAAGGTAAGGACGAATTAAGGTTTTTTTTTTAATTTTAGAAAGTAGGATACTGAAGTATCTGATATCAGTTTCACTATAAGATCCCATTTCTCTTTTTAAAATATAAATCTACAGATTAAAAAGGCATTGTGCTAGCTGCATAGCTTATCTTCCATCAGCAGCACATTTATCCTGCGGTTTATATGTGGTCAAAAATTCTGCAGCAAAAAAAATGTTTCTTTGGTTTGATTATATATTCTGGAGAGCAGCCTATGACGAAAGTCAGAATGGTACCCAAGATTTGTATAGACTGAGCCTTTCAATGCTTCCCATTCACCTATGTTTACAGAGAAGCCGGAATAGTAACCTAGATCTACCACATCAAAGATAATTCTGCTTGCTTTCTCAGTCCTTTGAAGTTTCTATAGGGTTTGTTTTCTTCATACCAAAAGTTGGCAGTTCAAATAGACAGAAACATGCTTTACATTTGTGAATCTTGAGTCTGTGCTTTAACCTCTGTCTAGCATAACGTACCCAAGCATGACCTACATAAATCTTCATATGTATGACTCTATTTGCTATTGCTAAGACACCTGCAGTATGATTCCGTTTATTCATCTGGTATTTTTCAACAAACACTTTTTGATTTTTTTTTTTAATTTGGTGGTCTCTCTCTTCCCCATGAACACATTTTCTCTCTCTCTCTTTATTTATAAGGAACTTATGCTGAAATTCAGTTTTTGCTCTATTATGTATAGTAAACTGTAAATTATTTTCTGAATATCTAAGGGAAAGTTTAGATATTTATTTCTGATACATATTTAGATATAGAAAATAAGTAAGATATATGAAATTAGATTTGAAACATATACATACATATGAGAGTTTGTTCTTGTGCAGTTCACACAATTCCAAAACTGCTTTCCATATTTCTCCTTTTCACTATATATACATTGTAGAATAACCTCTCTTTCCTTCTTTTTATCTCTACAATTATTCTTTTTTTCCACAGCCTCTTTTTTTATTCTACCAAGCATCATTTTTCGTATTTCCCTTGGGATAATTTCACATGCTTTTATGTTATTTTATAACATAATATTTTTCACTCCACTGTGATTGGTTTCACATAATCTTTCCTTAAGTCCATTTTGCATTCATTGATTTGAAAGATTTTTATGAATTCACTCTAGTACCACTCTTGTTTTTTCTTCCTTATTTTTTTAATGCATTTTTAATGCATCAAGACCCACTCTTGATGCTATCAAAAATCATTTGTGTGGTATCCAGAAGTTCTCATCACCCTAGTATTCTTCATTAATTCTTTCATTGTTTCAATATGAACATCAGTTAAGACACGATGTTTAGATCAACTCTTTTGCTATGGTACCTATAGATAGATTTATGCGTAAGCCATATATCTGAAACTAAACTAAGCAGATATTCACCAAGAACCATTCTCATTCATTATGCATGACTTCTGTGGTATCCTGCCTTATTTCTGCTCATTCATGCATGCCACCAACAGAATAAAAAATTCCCTGGATCACATTAATTCTTCTTGATATACAGTTTGTCCATTCCTGGTTCTTCAATTATCATAATTAATTTGGATAAAACTTTCAGCTATTGCCCAAGAATTCTTATTTTTACAGGTATCACCAATAAGGTAGGATGGCAGCAATTCATAATTTATGATGTGAGTTCATGTATTCACTTTCAGTGTCGTGCATGTATTAATTATTACACTCCACAAGATCAAAGATTATTTATTCATTAAATACTTTTTCTCTTAATTTCACTAATTTACATTTATTTTTTCCATTTTGGCTTTATTCATTAATTCATAGACTTTGCCACATAATGCCTCTTACATTCCAAGTTAGAAATTGTAAAATGCCATAATCATCAAAATTAATATTAACTTCTATTACATCATGGCTTTGTCTAACTGAAGCTTTCATATACTATTTAATAAAATAAAGAAAAAATAGGCTGTGTCACAATTGTAGTCATAACTATGCCATATGAAGCATTCTCTGCTAGTGGCAGGGCTATAATACATTTTGGACAGTATATTGTCTGTGCAACCAAAACATACTTTTGCACTAAGTACTATTCTCTGTACCCTAAAATCTGTAATTTAAAGTTCTACCTCTCAAATTAATATACTGTTGCCTGCATCCAACTTACTAGGAGGTACTTGCACTTTTCTGCCACACTAATAAACAAATGCTTAGCTGGGAATTTAGAGACATATAGTCCTTCTCCCAATATATTTGGGTGGTATTAGTTGAAAAAGTGCATTCTAAAGAAAACATAATTGGATTTTTTTTTATTTCTGTGTATTAACATACGTGTTCATCACAGTGTTATAATGAAAGGTTTTTTCTTCTTATTGTTTCTTGGTTACCTGTTTTGGGGAATATTTCTAGTGTAGAAGGCAAGCCATTAATATCAATAGGATGCAGGACCTAACTGCCTTGCTACCATTTATTCTTTTCCTGTTAATTTCTGTCCTAAATAAGAAGTCTCTCCATCAACAAAAGTAAACATATCCCTTTTTAAACTATTAAGTAGAAGGGAATTTTTGCACCAGGCATTATGAACTAAAATACCAAAGTAATGTTGTATAAACTTGTTTGTAGAATAATTTTTTAGCACCCAAATTGTGTTGTGGTTTAGGTTTTACTTAAATTAAAGTTCATTGGTCTAAGATTCTGGTAGGTAGACATGAGACGTTTTCTCAGAAATAATCGCATTGAGTTCCATGAGTCATACTTAAAGGTATGTTCAGTCTAGCACCACACTGGGTGGTGGGTTAAAGTACAAGGCTATAAACAAGAAAATGTGACATGATCCAATTATGTCACATTCTGGTTGAGAGAGAAGTTCCCTGAGGATCGGCTTTAACATCAGTCCGAAAGCTCGGAAGGCTAAACCTCTGGCCCCAATGACTGACAGAGTGGATCCTGCAACATTATCCTGAGACACATATAGCTGCCTTCTTTCATAAGAAAATTAGGCAAAAGTCAGTGAATTCTCTATCAGCCTTTGGAAAAAGGTAATGGCAAATCACTTCTAAAATTGAAGTCAAGAAAAGAAACCACATAGATTTGTCCAGGCAGTTGCCAGGAGTTAATGATAACATGAAGGTGCACACGTGAATAGACACACATGCACAGACACACAGACACACACCCACACCCAGACCCACACATTATGAGAAACATTCTTCTTTCAAACTTGTCAACCTCTGAAATACCATGAAATAGGAAAGGAAGAATACTTATTTTGAGGTTTGTTCTACCTGGCATTAGAATAATCAAATGTATTCATGAAATTTTAAAACATATTCTGTAATATGTGCTGTCTTTGAGATATGTTCATCATTTTCACAGAAAGTTTTTTCTTCAATATGAACTCATGTTAAATTACCATTTAATGTAAGAACAATCTAACCAACAACATACTTTCTGTCTTTAGATACAGCTATATACATACAACAATAACAACAATGAAAACAACAAAGAAGATCAGTGAAGAAATGCATCACATCATTTACCCATACAGTTCAGAATGCACCCATCAGAACTTATTAGTTATGAATGAATAAATGAATAATTAACATATATTTTACGCAGTTATTTTTTAACATCTGTTTTTGGAGATAAACCTTTGAATGTCATATGGATATGTTTGCTATAGTCTGGCATATCCTGAATTTTAAGGTTCTGAAGCAAGCAAAGAATTTGAGAGCAAGTGAAGAATTTGCAATCTTCCTGAACAAATTAAGAGAAAGCAGGTTGGTTTTATTTTTTTTTACTTTTGACAATAATGAAATGATGAGGACTGATTCAGAGGGAGGCATTCATATAAGATGGCATGGTTGTGGTCCCTTCTGATTATTATTACTGAATCCTTTGCAATATTCAAATATTGAATTGTGGAAGGAACATTACATTATCCATCCAGCTTAATTTAGATTGCACTGAAAAGGGAGATAGAACCAAAACATTTGCCCACTTAGAACTGCTAATTATGTATTTTCTGTACTAAATCACCCACTAAGCAGTCCTTGATGGAAAAAAAAATGGAGTACATTCAGTTATCACATTCTTAGCCATGCTAAGGCAGCAATTATATTGCTTAAATTTTCGGGTCATAGCAGTATTGGTAACATCTATTGAAATGAATGTCTCAAAATATGTGTAGAATTCAAAATATTGGAATAATTCTTTCATTGCATTTTAACTGATTCATTTCTGTTTTGAATGAAGAGTTTTAAAAAAATCTGATCATTTCAAATATTTTGAGGGACTATTCAAGTATAGAACAATTGTCTCTATTTGAACCCCTCGCTCGAAGGCCCTGAAAATCACATTGACATTAGAGCAATCCAGAATATTAAAACCATAATTTCTTATAAAGCTCATAATTATATTTTTTTCTTTTAAAATTAAACAGGTATATATTGGTATAACCTGAAACATGGTTCCAAAACAGATATACTATAACCTCAAAATTGTTATCCATTCTGGATATTTATTCATAAGAATTTTGAATTGTTGGCAGTTATAAGTACTCTTCAAACCCTGATAATTTAATCCTTTGCAATCTAAATCCCAAAACTTGCAATTGTGGCAAATTTACTCGTATCTAAACCCACTGAGCCTACTAAACCCACTGAGACTTATTTATAAGCAAATATGTACCATCCTCCATCACTTTTTTCTTTCAAAATTGACCTGTAATCTAATTTTTATAATATAATATTAAGTGAAGCTTACTCCCAACTAAGTCCTAATATTGCAGATCTAAAGGAAGCAAAGCCCTTTAACAGAAGATAATATCTAAATCATCATTGAACAATCCCCATTGTCCTTAGTACTTTGTCTCCCTGTTGTACAAAAATATTGCCTTTTTCTTGACAATAATTATGTTGTATAATGACAACAGGGTGCCATAACTCAGGAAGTAGATGTCATTTAGATGCTACTTGTGTATCATACAGCTGCCACTGAACTGCACTTGTGCAAATATTTCTGTGTCAGGAATTATGGTTTGCCTGCAAAACACTTAAAATCTATATTTAGAAAAACAGTTCTCTTCTCGGGCAAAAAAGCACAAGCTACAGTGGAGTGACCATATTGCAGAATGCATTTCATGTTGCAAAATAATTCCTTGAGGGACCTCAAACGTCAGCTTTTGCTTCTTAATTTCTTAATTAGCAGCATCATCTTTAACTTATATAGGTGTCTGAGGTATAGTGCCTCACTGCGTTGGAATAACTCTTAAAGCTTTCTTTGTTCATAGTAAGTTTAATAAGAATTTCTTCCCAAAAACGTACTCAGTATTTCATGAGCAATAAAGTTGGGATCAATCAATTATTCATTTACCATCTGAAATTACAGTTTAACAACCTCTTCTCCTGAGATTACCAGATACCCTAAGGTTGAATATAAGGTGAAAAGAGTAAGAAAAGAAAAGAAAAGATTGTGGATTGTATTAGGTTTCTAAAATATAAGACTTCATACTTTCATTTATGATACATTAAAAAAGTACAAATGATATATTAATTATTATCATAAATAGTAATGTATCCAATGCATTAGTCCATGCATTCTTGGCAAGATTTTTCAGGAGTGGCTTGTCATTGTCTGCTTCCTAGGGCTGGGAGAGAGAGTGACCGACTCAAGGCAAAGTCAGAACTCACAGTTTCTCAATTTCTAGCTCAGTGCCTTAACCACTACAATAAACTGACTTTCTGATATCCATTTTATAGAGAATAAATGTTTTTTTTGTATGTGTTGTTTGTTTATATTCTTACATACTTATAAGTGACGCTTTCCCCACCCTGCAAAATGCCACAAAAGAAGGCAAGATCTCAGAAAGTGTAGAGAATGCAAAATGATAGAAAGTATAGTTTTGTCATTTACAAAAGCAGCAAGCCCACACCATATCCTCCCCCCCCATCCCCATCATACACCTGTTAAGAACGATTAGGAAAAAGCAAAGGAACTACTCAGAAATTCCCCATGGAGAAATTTAGCAAAATGATTCTGCAGTATATCAGATATGAAGGGAGGGACTTCTTGTTCACTAAGAATCTGATTTTGAAATTCACAGCTCTGGAAATTACCTTTGTAAAAGTTTGCTGGGAATCACTACAATAAATCATAACAGAGCAGGGGTATTTAACTTATTTTTATGAATTACCCAGTACTTTAGTGAAGTTGGGAAAAACTCATTTATAATATGGTTCATTTGCTGAGTGCATGAACGGGTCTTAGCATGGTCTTAAATGTAATTTACACACACCAAAAGGCTTCTTTAAACAACCAAAGTGGTATAGAGGGGCCTTAGTGTAAATGATAATCAGACCCAGAAGAGTTCATCACTCACAGCAATTAAAACCAAAAGAATGCAAAAAACCTTGGGCAATAATAATTAATTTCTGAGAAATATGGATCCTGAAAGCAGCTGCAAATACTCATGATAGTTGGGGGAAGGAGAGGAAAGAATTAACTATCTATTTAGTGCATGCAGGCACACACACGCACATATGCGCCATTCACACATACACAAAGGGCATAGATACTTTGCAGAGTTAAACTAAAGATTACATTTGTTAAATCAAACATATTGAAAAAAAATCAAAGTGAATTTTTAAATATTTTGGATTTAGCAAAATAGAGGAGCATCTAAGTTATACCTGTATACAAATATACACAAATAAATGGAGAGGGGAAAACATCTTCAGTCTTTCTTTCAAAAGAATCATTATAAAACATAGAACAAAAATAATCCTAAAACAAAATTTAAAAAACCGGGGGTGGGCAACATCCCATATTTCCAGTTTTTCTCTCTTCCATAATAGTTACATATTTCAGACCTTTGCCATGACTACAGGCAGGATCGCTCCAGAGGTGGGTTTCAGCAGGTTCTGACCAGTTTTGGAGAACCGGTAGCGGAAATTTTGGGTAGTTCAGAGAACCGGTAGTAAAAATTCTGACTGGCCTCATCCCTATCTATTCTCTGCCTTCCAAGTCCCAGCTTATTGGGACGAAATGCAGATTTTACAGTAATCTTCCCCTGCCACGCCCACAAAGCCACACACACCAAGCGATGCCACACACACCGAGCCACACCCACAGAACCGGTAGTAAAATAATTTGAAACCCACCACTGGATCTCTCCCATAACAAATAGCAATAGCAATAGCACTTAGACTTATACACTGCTTCACAGGAGCTTTACAATCTTCTTTCCAGGATTATTAAGTAATTTGTGACCTCTTTGGCCAGGTATTCAGAATAAATAGAAAGATTTATACATTGGTCTGTTTCAAATTCCAAGTTTATTTAACTATGGTTAAACAAGGTTGACTCAGCCTTCCATCCTTTCTAAGGTAGGTAAAATGAGGACCCAGTTTGTGGGGGCAATAAGCTGACTTTGTATAAATATACAAAAGTATGAAGGCTATTGCTTAATGCATTGTAAGCCGCCCTGAGTCTCCGGAGAAGGGCGGCATATAAATCAAATTTAAAAAAAACAAAAAAACTATGGGCCAACCGAAGTTGTTATGTCAATTTTAATTTACTTTTATGATCTGGATATGCACTCTCATCATGGAATATTATTGAATCAACAACCAAACATCTTTGCATTGTATGTTTTATTAGTATGTCAAGTAAACCTGGGATCATGATTTGTAATAAGAGGAGCAAGAGTCTCAGACTTGGATGGCAGATGAAATTGTACTTAGTTTGTTAGTTACTCATGAATGCAACTGCCAAAAACGTTTCTCTCAGGTTGACTGAGTCGAAAACTGGGCCTGAGAGACAGGCATGGAGGTGTGGCCCAAAAAATTATGACTCGGTCTCTAGGCAGATCTGACTGTACCAACCCATTCCTGGACCATTCCGCAGCCTATCAGGAGAACCAGTGAATATGATTAGAGAACTGTGCACCTGTATACAGTATGTTTCTTTGACACTAAATCATGATATGGCTTGTGTTCACCAAAATAGTTGTTACTCAATAGCAGATTTGAAAACAGATCTTCTACTATGCCATTTGAAGTTGCAATGCTCCACTACATGCCATGTTATTCTTTATGAATCTGTTGTGACCCCGGCCCCGGAGGCTGATTTATCTTCACATGCTGATTCGGAGGATGATATGGAGGAGGAGGAAGCTGTCACGAGCTATGTGCCAGAGGGGCCATCTTCACTGGTGAGTCAGCAAGAACTGACAGTTGCTGACGTGCCTATGGACCCCAGCCAAATTGAGGAGGAAACAGAGTCCGGTAACGACAAGGGGAAGCCCCTATTGGATGCAAGAGAGAGACGTAGGAGATGTCGTAGAGAACAGCTATTGTCACGTCCCAAGAAGTGTGGTCAGAAGATGTAGGGCCACACTCTACAAAGTATAAAAGGGGTGTGACTGGGCTGGAAAGGCGTGGTGAACAATTTGTTGGCATTTTGGATGCAGTGGAGTTACAACTGTTAGTTTGGAGTTTTTGACAAGAGTCTGCATTCTGCATTAGCCTGCTGGCAATCTGCCAAGACCTTTGGAACATTGCCCGGTAATTATTGGACTGATATACGCTTTGGAAGATAACTATTTA